TTTTGAGACAGGGTCTCCCTGTAGCCCCAGCTGGCCTGGAGCTTACTATGTAGACCAGGCTGGCCTCGAACTCACAGAGATCCGCCTGCCTCTGCCTCCCAAGTGCTGGGACTACAGGCGTGTGCCACCGTTTTTGCTATTTTGTTATTTTTATTTTTATTTTATGTGTATGAGTGTATTGTCTGCATGTATGTCATGCAGTGCCCGCGGAAATCAGAAGAGGTCGTTGGAGCTCCTGGAACTGGAGATACAGACAGTCCTCAGCTACTGTGTGGTAGTGGGAACTGAACCCGGGTTCTTAACCACTGAGCCATCTCTCCAGGTCCAGGACTACTGATCTTTAAGCTGCCAGCTTGGCTGGAGAATAGATTGTAGGATTTCTAGTGTGAGGTGTTCCAGGGCCTCTTTTCTAGTCCTACCTCTGTTGGCCAGGGGGAGGTGGGCTGTGGGGGGCGCACAACAAGAAACACTTTATAATACCGTTGGCTCCCAGAGCTGCCTACTGATGTTCTGCTTCTTTCTATCTCTTGCAGTGGATGATGAAGATGCCACTGTCAACAAGATTGCGTGAGTGTCACTACCCTCAGCATCGGCCTCCAGTGGCCTTTAGAAGCTGGGATCTAGAGAGGCCTCTAGCGCAGCGGGGGAAGGAGCTGTCATCCAGTGAAGAAAGGGCTTCTGCTTCCACCCTACTTTTGGCTTCTTCCAGCTTTGCCTCATCCTGGGGATGCTCAGAAAAGCTGCTGTTCCTGTTTCCCTGGTTAGGCCAGGAGCTTCTAGGAGCTTCATGATTAGGAACTGTTGGCTGGGGCCTGAGTCACCAGGAAGTGGCTTCAGCTTCGCTTCACCAGCAGTCAATGGGAGTTGGGCGGGGGGCTGATGGAAATAGGGCAGGTTTGGTGAAGAGAGGATCCCCTGAGAGCAGAGAATGCTTGGTTCTGAGAAGGCGCTTATTTTAGACTTCTCTTAGTAGCTCATACAGAGACAATATAGAGATGCCTGAATCAACAAGCTAAAAGGCAACCCTCTCCCCTTGGCGAACTTGTTTTTAGAGGATATAGTCCAAGGTGCAGGCCTTGGCCATGGTGCTGGGTTTCAGCTTCCCTTTGTCCTCTACACTAGGGCCTTCTTGATGGGCATAGCCATGTGGGGTGACTCTGCTCTTATCCGTACTGAGAGGGATAAGCTCAGAAATCTGTATCCCTAAGCAGAGAAGAGAAGCCACACCCCCTTGGCTTTGTTGTCCTACCTGGTATTCTCTATAGGCATGTATATACAGGGAGGACCACATTCCTGAGACAGCCTAATCAAATGGCATGGCAGGTAATCTGGTATCCATGAATGTTGTACCTATCCCATGTGCCAAGGTAAAGGCTAGGTGGGTGATCAATGGGCAGAACCGAACTGGAAAGCTCCTTCCTATTGCTATAGCTAGTTCTAGAAGCTGTAGGTGCCCTTGGGATCAAATGGGACTTCTAGGGCACCAAGGCAGTGAGTGCTGAGCTAACCTGTCCTCTTCCCTTCCTAGGCTGGAGCTGTGCACCTTTACCCTGGCAGTTGCCCTGGGTGCTGTCTTACTCTTGCCCTTCTCCATCATCAGCAATGAGGTGCTGCTTTCACTGCCACGGAACTACTACATCCAGTGGCTCAATGGCTCCCTCATCCATGGTATGTGGCTCTGGGCTATAGCTTCAGGTAGGGAGTAGGGCAGGTAATCAGGCAGACCCAGGCAGCCTTGGGGCTCTTCAGTCATGTGTCATCTACCCTCCCTTACCATGGGCCAGTCCTCTATTGATTGGCCCCATTACTCACCAACTCCATCGTTTCTTTTTGGTTCTAGGTCTCTGGAACCTCATTTTTCTCTTCTCAAATCTGTCCCTTATCTTCCTTATGCCCTTTGCGTATTTCTTCACGGAGTCCGAGGGCTTCGCTGGCTCCAGAAAGGTAAGTAGAGTAAATATCAGGTAACCCAGGGAGGAAGCAGAACTCGATGGAGTTGACAGAAGAGGTTTTAGTAAGGAGATGATCTGTAGACTTTAATCAAAGTTAAGGGACCAGACAAGGAATCTGAGGCTGTAGTGACGTGGGAAGTCATTATCACCTGTGGGATTTATAAAGGGAAGGAATCATTTCCAGAACCTACTGATAGTTGAAGCTGAGAATGAGTCACTCAGCAGAAGAGTAAAGCTGCTACAAAAAATCATGATGCCAGAGGTGAGAGGATGCACACAGAAAATCCCAGACTTGTTTCTCTACCTTCCACTCCTCAGCTTATCTGGCTGAACTGCCAGAAGGCATCAGAGATCAGCTTCTCAGGACAACCAAGGGCGGAATGGATGTGGCCAGGAGGGGGCTTGCAAGTGAATCCCCAGGCTATGGAATGGAGAGTGGGAGGGCAGAGTAATTCAGCAGAATAAGAAAGAAATGCCCCTTCCTATCTCCTGCATTCAGACCTCCTTGGTTCCCCAAGCCCAGGCCTATCTCTGATGTCTCCCTCCTTCCCCAAACTGCCTTAATATTGACTCCTCCCTCGGTTTTGTCTGTTTATTCCTTCTTTAGGGTGTCCTGGGCCGGGTCTACGAGACGGTGGTGATGTTGGTGCTCCTCACTCTGCTTGTGCTGGGCATGGTGTGGGTAGCATCAGCCATTGTAGACAACAAGGCCAGCAGGGAGTCACTCTATGGTGAGAGGCTTTGTTAAGCATTTTGTCACTGTGATTTAAAGGAGGAAAGATTGATTTTGCCTCATGGTTTCAGAGGTTTCAGTTCATGGTCATTTAGCTCTGGTTTCTGGGCCCTAGTGAGACAGAACATCATGGCTAGAAGCATGTACTAACCTCTACACCTAAGGACATCTGCTGCTATTTAAGGCATTCTAGACATGATAGGGAAGCTACACCAATGAAATATCCACAGTGTGGAAGTCCAGTAAGATCTGCATACAATAACAAGGTGGATGGGGGAAAGTTCAAGGGCTTCCACCTCAAGATGAAGAGCCACAGGCAATCAATGGACACTGAGGGAGGGGAAATCAGTTTTCTCTAAGGACTAGCTCCCTGAGAGGTTGTCTAATGTCCAAGTGGGCAGCTCTAAACACAAGTGTGCAGGAGCACCACTAAATGGACTCATTGTATTATATATGTATATATCTATAAGGTATATGTATATATCTTTACTCAGTGTATTATATATGTATATATCTATAAGGTATATATGTATATCTATACTCAGTGTATTATATATGTATATATCTATAAGGTATATGTGTATATCTATAATACTCAGTGTATATATATGTATATATCTATAAGTGTGTGTGTGTACATGTAACAATGAAGAAGAAGACATATTAAGAGGAAGTAGTGGTGACATCAGAGGATTGGAGAGGGATTGAGAGGAATGGAAATAATGTAAAGAGTACTTATGCTTCATGCTCACAACATTTAAAAATTAGAAAAAAAGCTTGTGTTGGAACAGAGCTGCTCACTCATGGTGGACAGGAAACACACAAGCTAAGGGTTAAAAAAAAGCCTTTCATGCCAGGCATGGCAGTGCATGCCTTTGATCCCAGCACTCAGGAGGCAGAGGCAGGTGGATCCCTGGGAGTTCCAGGCCAACTTGGTCTACGTAGCGAGTTCCAGGCCAGCCAGGACTACAGGGAGACCCTGACTTAAAGACACACACAAAAAAGGAAAGCCTTTCAAAGGCACATTCCTGGTGATCTGCTTTCTCCCAACTAGGCACCACCTCTTCGTTTCCACACCTTCCAATACCATTGGATTTATGACTCTTATCAATGGATTAGTCCATTGATTAGGTCAAAGCTTTATGATCCAATCGCTTCCCAAACCACCACCTCTGAACATTACATTGGGGAATCAAGCCTTCAAGAACTGATGCTTTAGAACTAGGCATGGTGGCTCATGCCTATATTTGAACACTAAGGAGGCTAAATCAGTGATTGTCTTGAATTTGAGGTCAGCCCAGGTTACATAGTGTTGTTTGAGGCCATCCTAGGCTACTTAGGAAGATTCTGTCTCAGAAAACAAAAAAGGAGCTAGAGAAAGTTCAACAGTTAAGCCCAGTGGCTGCTCTTGCAGAGGACCCAGGCTTGGTTCCCAGAACCTGCATGGTGGCTCACAACCATCTGTAACTCCAGTTCTAGAGGATCTGACACCCTCTTCTAGCCTCTGTGGGCACTGCATGGCATAGGAGTACATGTAGGCAAAACACTCTACACAAAAATAAATAATAATGTTTTAAGCTGGGTGTGGTGGTGCACAAGTTTAAGCACTTGGCTGTCATCCTAGCACTTTGGAGGCAGAGGCAGGCAGATCTCTGTGAGTTCAAGGTCCGCTGGGGCTACAGGGAACCCTTGTCTCAAAAAAAAAAAAAAGCAAAACAAAAATTAAAAATTTTTTTTTTAATTTTTATTTTATGAGTGTATTGCCTGCATGTATGTAGGTCCACCCATGTCATGCAGTGCTGTGGAGTCAGAAGAGACTGTCAGATCCCTTGGAACTGGAGTTACAAACAGCTGATAGCTGCTATGTGGGTGCTGGAATTCGAACATCCAGTGCTCTTAACCTCTGAGCTGTCTCTCCAGCCCCCATAAATTTTTTTTTTAACTTTTAAAAAAATTTATTGAGGATTTCATACATGCATATAAGGTGTTTTGATCAAATCCATGCCCACTCCCCTCCAAATCCTCCCATATCTTCCCATCACTTTTTTCTGATAACTTCATGTACTCTTTCTTTTTTTTTTTTTTCTTTTTTTGGTCTTTTTGAGACAGGGTCTCCCTGTAGCCCCAGCTGGCCTGGATTTGCTATGGAGTCCAGGCTGGCCTCCAACTCACAGAGATCTGCCTGCCTCTGCCTCCCAAGTGCTGGGATTAAAGGCATGCGCCACTATGCCTGGCCCCTTTTTAAAAAAATATTTTTATTTTATGTGTATGAGTGTTATGCCTGCATGTAGGTAAGTGCACCCGTGTCATGCAATGCCTGCAGAGGACAGAAGAGGCCATCAGATAACCTAGAGCTGGAGTTACGGACCGTTGTTAGCTGCCGTGTGGGTGCTGGGATTCAAACCCGGGTCTTCTGAAAGAGCAGTCAGTGTTTTTTTGTTTTGTTTTGTTTTTTTATGTGTATGAGTGTATTGCCTGCATGTATGTGAGTGCACCTGTGTTGTACATTACTGCGGAGGTCAGAAGAGGGCTTCAGATTCTCCTGGAACTGGAGTTGAGGACAGTTCATAGCCACCCTGTGGGTGCTGGGAATCAAACCCAGGTCCTCTGCAAGTGCTCTTAACCGTTGAGCCATCTCTCCAGCCCCTCTTTTTTAATTTTTAAAAATCCTCCCCAACATGATTATTTGTGGGGGAAATAGAAGGCTCACACATTTCCTGGTGGCGTAAGTGTGCCCTTAAAATCATAAGCCAGGAAGATGTTTATAAAATGTATGAAATGAACTAAGTTGGTCCAGTCCATTTCTCTGAGGACCTGGTATTAACTGTACAATTTTACATTTAAATTCCCACACTTAGTGGCTCCCTGTTATTTCAGGTGGACCTTTTTGCCCCCTCCCCCAAATTAGACGCAAATAATGACAATCCCTACACCTGAACAACATGGCACAGTTTACCAAGTGTTTCCACTTACATTCCCTCTTTTGCTGGGCAGACTTTAAGATGGCTCTAAATAATCCCCACCCCTGGCAGGCATGCTCTGTATACTCCCCTCCCTTTCAGTGTGAGTGTAACCTGTGGCTTGCTTTTAACCAATAAAAAAGTGGCAAAGGCAGTAGGTCATTTCTATGAACAGGCTCAAGATTCTTTTTTAAAAAAATGATTTATTTTTATGTGTATGAGTGTTTTGCTTTAGTGTATATATGTGCACTGTGTGGGTGCTTGGAGCCCCAGAAGAGGGTGCCAGATCTCCTGGGACTGGAGTTAACAATGGTTGTGAGCTACCATGTGGGTGTTGGAAACCCAAACCTGGTTTGCTAAAAGAGCAGCAAGTGCTCCTAACTGCTGAGTCATCTCTCCAGCCCCGAGATTCATGATTCTAATTTTCCTTCTACTAGCCA